TAGGATTTCCTGAAAGCGAGCACATGCGTGTTCACGACGCTACGGAAGCCGCGCTGAGCGATTTGCCCACGACAGACGACTGAGTTTCAATCATGTTTAATTTTGTCACAACCTTATGATTCCTGATCGGGAGGTGGTCGCGTTACCCCGGGTGCACTACACGATGCACGATCAGGCTACATTGAAAGTCGGCGTGAACGAAAAATTCTTGCACGACTTTAGAATTGTCCCGAAAATGGCAAAAAAATCATACAGTGTATGCCCGGCTTTAAATCACGCAGTGCTCAACTTTTTTAGAAATTTTTTTTTTTCTTAACAGCATAAGATCTTTTATCTAAAGATAAGATATTAAAATAAAACAAATCTCTAACGCAACCAGAATTACAAAAAAAAATTATTCAGGCCACTTGGCTTAGCTTAGTAGCTACTGTGTTCCTCCGTTCTGGTCCTAAGGATCCTCTTTTCCTACATGATGCTTTAGATGCTTTTCTGTTCCAGGATGCCGGATTCATGCCATCAAGAATTGCAGGAACCTGTTAATCACCTTATCAGTTGTCAGGTGTGTCGCCGAATGGACCCTCAAAATACTATCAGTGACATGAATGGTGCTCCATCCCTCCACCCTTACAGCAAAAAATCAAATTATTTTCTCTGGGCAGTCAAGTTAAGCACTCTGACCGTTCAAAAACTTCAAATATTATAAACAACATAATTTGCAGTCTTTTCTGTTCAACAACAGCAGCAAGAAAGAAGATGTGGGGTATCAACTCCCTATTGCCTCTACATGCAAACAAGCAGTTATAATCTGTGCTAATCATTCATTTTCAGCTGCTCCATTTTTATGCCTCCTTAGAAAATGCCTCATAGCACTGATACCAAAAGCTGCAACTGCAGACTACGGCTGCACAGAAATGCAACTCCCTTATGGAGAGCCCTCTGGATGACGTTGATCACAGAACGGGAGCAGTGTTATATTTTCCTCTCAGCTCTTGGTTCTGAAGTTTATTTCACTATTGATCAAAAACAACGTTGTCAATGCAAAAACCCGTCAATGAGAAAGACCGTGTGAAACACAAAACATTATATAATCTGAAGTAAAGACGAGGCTCAGAAATGTCGGCACTTCTCACTTTCTCACAGATACATCCCTTAATAATTGATGTACCTTGGGAGGATTAGGGCTGCGGTATAACAAACTGCAGCTTCCCAGTGCTGTGAGAAATTTGTAAGGAAATAAAAAAATATATATATGATGCTCTCAGATTTGTCATTTTCTTTCCGTGGGAATGTAAATATAACTATATAGCTCTATATTCTGTTTATATATATATATAATTTGTCTGCACCATCAACACCAAGTCAAATTCCTTGTAAGTGCAAACCTACTTGGCAATAAACCGGATTCTGATTCTGATAACAGACAGAAAGAAGACTAATTCCCCAAACTCAAAAAACTTTTAAGGACTGCTAATAATAACTGATTTGGGAGGTTGAAGAAAATAGCAGATTATATTATTCAGTTAGAATGCATTCAGGATAAATGTAAACTCGGCTTTGTTGGAGTTATTATGATTTCTGTTGTTTTTATCATTTTATTCATTTATATCTTTTATATTGCTTTGCTTTGTTTTTTCTATAATACTGTCATCATTGGAAACAGTGTTTGCAGGTCATAAACGGTCAAATTTTTTGTGAGAATGCTTTCCTGTTTTTCATTTGAGAAACACAGAAGTTAAAGTTTATGACCCCCCATACCTTTTTTAAAAGCGTATACTGAAACCAGACATGTTCCCTATCTTAAAAGTTCATGCAATGTCTAAGAGATTGCATAATCGAAACTAACACCTGCTGTTGTAATGTGTTGACTGCTCAATAAAAAGGCCTGCAAGCGTGGAGCAAGACGAAGATGCAGAGAGATCCTAAAGCTCTGTGTATTTTCCCTTTGCAAAACACTGTCAGGAAAAATCTTACACTGTCTTTGTTTCATTCTTTATAGGCAGAGATGGGAAGTAATGAAGTACAAATACTTCGTTACTGTACTCAAGTAGATTTTTCTGATATTTTTTCTTTACTTTACTACTTATTTTTATGGCGACTTTTTACTTCTACTCCTTACATTTTTACACAAATATCTGTACTTTCTACT